AACAATTCATTTTCCAAAATGCAACTTTGATACTTTGACAATTTAAAAGAAAAACACAGTAGTATACGGATCTGCAGAAGGTGATCAATTAAGAGATTAAGCATTTTGTAGCACATGGGGTGCATCTGCATTTTATCCTAATAACAAGGCCATCAGCTCATTCTCAGAGCACTGCTGTCTACTTCAGTTCAGACTTCACTTCAAAGAGACAACGTCTGCCTGTGCTACATAATCAGAAAAGGGATGCTAATTTGGCCTCCTTAATGTGTGGTGGTAAGAGACTCCTTCAATTTACTGAATTCTGTAGTCAGGGAATAAAGGGATGCAAACAGAGTCGAACTGGAAACGCAGATTTCTCATTAAATCAAAAGGTCCGGCATTTATTACCGCTCGCATCTGAGGCTAAACACTAAATACACACAGAGCATCAAAGGGTCCGTGATGGGTTAAATAGGGAATGCAATCTAATTAAAATATTACATATGAGTAAATAGCTCTTTGATATTCATCTAAAGGTTCCATTAAAGAAATAGGTGCTTCAGATTTGTATTATGGAGGGATTATCACTTTTAAGTGCAGGCAACAAGTTTGTGCCTAATCAGAACCGCTTCAAAGTGTCATCATTTTGTGACCCATTTGCAGAACCAGCCACGAATGAGAAAATATGTTGATACTTAGGTTGTGAAAGGCCATTTAATTCTGGCTCAATATAGCAGCAGGTGCATAAACCAGAGAAACCAAGGAAGAGAAATGAGACAGATAAAGAGAGGGGAAGTAACACCGCAGTTGTGAGAGTGGACGGAGTAGATATATAATAACGTCTGCATCTATTAATATTTCATTAATTTGAACTGTAACGACTGCTTTGCTTGAACCTGCACGTCATCAATAAAAATGCTTATTTCCCCATTTTGATAGCAATGCCGAACATCCTACCATTTCTGAATCACTTCTACACTCGGCTCCGTAGAAACGTTGGGGTGAGCGCCTCTGTATCTGCCCAGCAAATTGTGAATTTGTTTGGCTTACCTGCGAACTAACGTTAATTTTACCTGTGGAATGAAGGAATTGCCATTATGTTGCTGTTGGTCCGTCAGTTCTGACAGACTTTAAAGTTGTCAATTTTGAGCCCGAGAAGCCATAAATAATTGAAAGCCGAGGGAAGGCAATCTATTTTAACGCACAGACGTTGGGTCAAGTCATTACAAACACTAAAGCAACAGAAAAAAAAAACCTTAAAAGGATCCTTCTAAAGCTCTTACTCACAACAACATTAAACAGATTAATTTTAAGGGAAAAAAATAGCCAAATGGGGAAATGTGCGTCAAGGCTTGAACAGTGAAAAATAAATGTGCAGGAAAGATCATCTCATTAAAACAACACAATCATGTAAAGGGAAGGTATATCAATGAGGTGATCTTCTCCTCTTGCTTTGACACATTAATAACAACTTTTGATCTTGCATAGTGTTAGACTTAATATGGTTATATGGAAAAACAGGATGTCTATTAAAGATGATATTTAAAATATGCAAAATTACCTTCTTTGGGTTCTTACTGGGAACCAAATAAAAGCTCAGATCATAAAATTGCTCAATTAAATAACAACAGATTTAACATCTTTAATGCTGTACAACATCTGAAGGATGCATCATACAAGTCTTAACGCATAAGGTTTGAAAGAGCCAAATAAATCAAAACAGATGATCAGAACTAGCCAGAAGTAAATTTCAACAAGCATCTTAAAACAAGAAAAAGAGGTAGCGAGGCAGAAATAGGGAGTGAATTCCACAGGTTAGGGGGATGACTTAACTCGTTAATGGTAGGAGCCTGGGGAGTGTTGTCAAACAGTGAGACATAGGAGTGCAGATGCATTGTTCCTTGAAAGTGGTATAAGAGGTAGACAGGATGGTGAAGAAGGCATTTAAGCACACTTGCCTTCATCTGTCAGAGCATTGAGTATAGGAGTTAGCATGTCATGTTACAGGTGTACAAGGCATTGGTAAGACCACATTTGAAGTACTGTGTACACTTCTGGTCACCCTGCTGTAGGAAGTTTGTTACTAAACTGGAAAGGGTGCAAAACAAGATGTACAAGCATGTTCTGAACTGGAGGGTTTGAGTTATGAGAGGCTGGATAGGCTGGGACTTCTTTCCCTGGAGGGGTGATCTTATAGATGTTTATAAAATCATGAGAGGCATAGATTAGTTGAAGAACCAAAGTCTTTTCCCCAGGGTAGGGGAGTCAGCTGCATGGAGAGGAAAGGTTTAGAGAGATATGGGTGAAACACAGGCAAATGGTTCAGTTTTGGAAACCTGATCAGCATGGGCAAGTTGGTCCAGGGTCTGTTTCCATGCTGTATGACTCCATATTGGGCCTTGGTAATGAAATGGCAGGCTATCAATGATGGAATAATTAAAATTGGTTATGGTAAAGAGGTGAGATTTAGAGGATTGCTATTATGTTCAAAAGCTGCAGAGGTAAAGGAGGTTACAGGGGATGGGAGTGATGAGGTGTTGTATTAATTCATTCATGGGATGTAACTTTTGCTGGCTAGACCAACATTTATTTCCCATTCCTAGTTCGGCTTTGAGATTGTGGTGGTGAACTGCTTTCTTGAATACCCGCCGTCCATTTGGTGTCGGTATTGTCACAACATGGTTTTGGGAGAGAGTTCCAGGATTTTGAGCCAGAAAACACTGGCAAAATATTTCAAAATCAGAATGCTGAGTGGCTTGGGTGGATGGGAACTTATAGGTGGTGGTGTTCCCATATATCTGTCCTTTCAGATGTTGTTGTGTGTTTGCAAGGTACTGCCCAATGAGCTTTGGTGAACTTCTGCAGTATATTTTGTAGATAGTACACACTGCTGCTACTGAGCATCAGTGATCAAGGGAGTGGATGTGGTGCTGACCAAGTGGCTGTTGTATTCTGGATGGTGTCAAGTTTTTTAAATGTTGTTGGAGTTGCACTTATCTACCTAAGTGCGGAGCATTCCATCACACTCCCGACTTGGCACTGTAAATGGTGGACAGGCTTTGGAGACCCAGATGAATTACCTGCTGCAGGAATCCCAGCCTCTGACCTGCTTGTGGAGCCACAGTATTTATATGGTTTTTCCAGTTCAGTTTCTTGTCAATGATAACCCTCAGATGTTGATAGTGGGGTTTGAAAAACAGTAATGCCATTGAATGTCAAGGAGTGCTGGTTAGATTCTTTCTTGTTGGAGATGGTCATTATCTGGTGCAAATGTTAGTTGCTACTTGTCAGCCCAAGTCTGGATATTGCTCAGACCTTAGTGCACTTTACATAGAATGCTTCAGTATCTGTGGAATCATGAATGGTGCTGTATATTATGCAATTAGCAGCAAACCTCTCCACTTCTGACATGATGATGGAAGGAAAGCCACTGATTAAGTAGCTGAAAATTGTCCAGTCTAGGATACTATCATGAGGAACTCTTGCAGAGATGTCTTGGAACTGAGGTGACTGATATCTATCAACCACAACCAACTTCCTTTTTGCTCAGTATGACTGTAGTCAGCAGAGTTCCTCCCCCACCCCCATTCCTATTGACTCCAGTTTTGTTAGAGCTCCTTGATTCTACATTTAGTCACATGTGGCGAGGGAGAGATTTGAAAATAAAGATCAGAATTTTCAAATGGCAGCATTGCTTGGCCAGGAGCTATCACATGTTCGGATGAGAATGGAGGCTATTGGTTAATTAGACTGAAGGAGAGTTAGGACATGAGCGGCAGAGTTTTGAATGATTTCAAACTCATGGAAGATGAGAATTCAGTTAGGCGTGCATTGGAATTGTCCAGAAGTTAAAAAAAAATAAATGTTTTATCATGATATGAGCTGAGGCAGGGGCAGGTTTTGGTGATGTCAAGAGCTCAAAATAAGTATTCATGGTGATGGTGTGGACATGTGGTTAGAAGCTCAATTCAGAGTCAAATATTGTGCAAACGTTTTGAACAGACTAGTTCAGTCTCAGACATATTGTGAAGAAGGATCAGGTCAATGACTAAGGAACACAAATTGTGGAGGGGACCAAAGGCTTTATATCTTCCCAACAGTTAGGTGGAGAAAATTTCTGCTCATCCAGTACTGAACGTTAGACAAATGGTCAGATAATTCAGAGAAAGTGGAGCAGATGAGAGAGGATTGGTAAGATTGAGCTGGGTGTTTTCAGCATAGTGTACATGTACCTCAATTCAACATTAAGCTTGGAATCCTTTCCAAGCAACTATAGAATGATTGGTGCAGGCATTGGAAAAGTACCATTTTACAACAGAAGCTTATTGTTGATCAGTATAGACGACATTACACTGCACCAACACTACTATATCCAGTTAGGAGTTCATACTGATGATACTGGAAATCTGGAAAGACATATTTCCTGACAACTGACATTTATAAATTTAATTGAGTTGAGATCAATGTACTAAAAGATAACAGGTAACTGTTTTGAGTCCATGAGTGATGAAATACAAACATCTTCAATGGGCAATTTTTTTTAAACTGGTAATACTTTACAGCTGAGATTAGTGACAGCGAATTTTCTCAAAAGAATCAAGGAACAATTACAAGTTAAATGAAGAAAAAAATCAGTTGCTTCAACTTTACAACAAAAGGAAATCATAGGTTTACAATTTATAGAAATATGGATAAACTTGCAAGATATGGACTTTATTATCAAAACAAATATTACAGAATCAATGTAATAAAAAGTGAATATGATTTGTCATTCATTGTAAACCTACAAACCTCCTTATGGTTACTGTACCTTAAGGGGTCTTAAATCCTAATTCCTCTCAGCTCCTGTTGCTTCTGACTCTATTACAAATGCTTAATAGAATCAGCATGGAAATATCTTACAAATTACATTGCAAATCACATCATAATTTAATCAAAATTTATGTCATTTGCAGCAGTCTAAATGATTCACTATTAATAACAATATACTAAGAATCGGTTTGAAATTTGGCGCATTTTATTGTAATTACATCAATTTTACACAATGAGGGGACACACATTTTGATTACTGCATCATTATTTACAAGTAGCATGCACAAAATAAAATAAAAAATATATGAAAATATGCAATTACAAATGATCCATAAAAATATTTCTTCTAAATATTAGTCCTTCCTGGTGCACTTCAGATCTATTAAGCAGTGAGCAGGAAATAAATACATCCTCGGAAATGAATAAAATTAAAATTGAATTTAGTCAGTTCATTTAAAAGATTTTGTGGATCATTTTCAACAAGTGACTGGAAAGAAAGTTGGGAACACTGAAATTTCACATGTAAATTTTAAGAGAACTACATATCTAAAAATGCAAGATTGTTTTCATTGGACTTTCAATAACATTTGTCATCACAAGTTAGAAGTATTTTCTCACATGTATTTTGCATCAGAATCTGTTACTTTCATTCATTGTATAATGTGGAATACAAATGAATATCAGGGGACCACACCATAGTGGTCATGCTGAACCTCTCATGAAATGTGTGACCTTCCAATGGTTTGAATCAATGATGTTGTCTTTTTCCCATTATGAAGGCACATTTAAAAAAAAATCAAATATGAAATACCACAAAAATTCACGTGAAATTGAAATCATTGAACTGAAATGCTCTGGGTAAATTAACACACTTTTGAGGAATTATACTGGGATCCTTATGCTCCTTTGCATTGGGTGAGTTTATGTTTATGACTATATGTATGTTGAGTTCATAATCTCAGCTGGGCTGCTATGGACAAGACATTTGATGCTTGACTAAAAGTTGAAAGTAGAAAAGGAAAATAAAAAAGAATCAAAGTTGCATTCTTGTTTGTCTTAATGTTCAGTTTCAGAGTGGCACTAAAACAGTCTATGAATCACCTTCTGCATTCAATTTATAAAGATATGCATGGATAGCCAAAGAGGACAAAATACTTCAACAGTCTGGCATCTTGCAGATCAAGTGTATATTCTGTTGGAGATTGAACATTTCGAAATTAGACAGGATTTAATAATAGAAACTTAAAGACACATCCAAATGGCATTTAGTACATTTTTTTTACAGATTATACATATCACATGGCGTATAAAAACAGCTGATGCTTCATTTAATACATAATAGACAAGTAATATTCCTGTAAGTGCATATTGTATTATATATATTACATACCGATATTATGTGATCAACAAAGTAAAAAAAAATTTGTTCTGGTAGTATAGCCTCAGCTGTCCTGTAGATGTTGTCTGCTTACATCAGCCTCAATTATATTCCTCAATTTCTGACTGCTTAGAAAGGCAAAGGGAATAATTTTCAACTCAGGGAACTGATATATTTGAGCTATTCAGTAGGAAGCTGTGTATTACAAGAAACAATGTGATATATCAATTCAACTAGATGGTACATTTTAGCATCTTTTGGTAATAAATGAAATATTCTCAAAACATGTGCAACATAATAATGAGCGTCAGGAAGTCCTACAGCAGTAATCTGGTAACATTAAAGTCAGTTGGTTACCTCTGCACTGAACTAATTCAAACACTAGAGTTCAATATTATTGTTCACTATTTTTAATTAAAAACATAAGCAAAGCGCAAGTAAAAATTATATATTCAGGCATACGTTTTCATTAAAATTAGTAAATAAAGGAAAATAGATACCTGTACAGGCCTAGAAACAGAAAGAATAAATTTCAAGTTGACCTTCCACTTTAAAAATAAAATCAAATGGTAATAACAAACTTGCTGTTGTACATATGTGCTTTTCAAGAACAGGCAGAGTGGATGTCAGACACAATGTGCATTCTGATATCTCATTTAATGTTACCTGAGTTCAGTTGCTACTCAACAAATTGCTTTGCCTCCATCACTATTTGTTTGTGACATCTACTTGGTAGGCTTTGTCTCTATCAATATTAAGATCCATCACAAAGAAGATTATTATGCAGAGCACTCATCTAAATTAAACCGACAAAGTATTTTAAATAATCATCTGGGGTAATTTACTTTATATAGAAGCTCCTCGCCATATTTAGGGGTTTTTTGTAGTACATTATAGATTTGTAAAATCATGCAGCACAGGTAAAGGCCATTTGGTCCACCATTTATGGTCTGGCTCTTTAAAAGAGGCATTCAATTAGTTCCACTCCTTTAATCGTGTACCCAAACCCTAGAAATTTCTAATTTCTAATTAATAAATATTAATAGATTTTTTGTACACATTTTAATTGTAGTTGGCAAAATTACATGACGTGTCCTTTTCAGAGACTCTTAAACACAATGCCAGATAAGAAATACTGTGCAATGGCTTCAATAATTCTCATCCTGTTGTCTAATGAAATCAAACCTTGAGGCTGATGATAATGTAAAGCCATGATAACCTCTGTCTTTGAGTTCTTAATGTTGCCTTTAAAATTATTTTTTAAATGGGGTTGTAAAAGAACTCTTAGTCTCAAAGATACATGCTAAGCCATTACTGAAAGTACAAAATCATTTGTAAAGGTATATGAATTTTAGAATATTTATACATTTAATTCACAATCAATTGGACTAAGCCCTCAATATTGAGAATTCCCAATATTTCTTCAATATTGAATAGACTTTTGGACCTTAAATAGTTTCCTTAGATACCACACTTATATACAGAGTCTGCCTCTCAAATGGACAGTTTACTTATATGGAGCTACAAGATTGCAGAATACAAGCATCAGTTTAATTCTGGTGAGAAAGAAAGCTTCAAAAATAAGAATCCAAAAAAAAATTAAGTTAAATTTGAATGACCCTCTAAGTCCATTCAATTAAAACCTAATAATGAAGATCAATTATTATCCCTCCTGTAAATAGTTTGAAATCCTGAAAAGACAAACTGCAAAATATTTTACAAATAATTTTGCACTACTTTCTCAATCACAACTGCTGTGAGCACATCATTTACTAAATTTCAACAGTGAAATCATGTATGTCATGACAATATGTAATTGTTTTATAAATTATACAATGTATAGCATACTATTAAAAGTTTCTCTTGTTTGATTCATGCAATGACTGACGTTCCACTTGAAATACAAATTTGCTTATCATCAGCTCACATGCATTGCTGTGAATCCTGCCACAATTTGCTTCTCCTTTTCATGTCGCTGCTGTAGCATCGCAAGAAGACTATTGTGGGAGGGGTCCAGTTGTACATATTGACCATGTTCAGGGAACTCACCCCTTTCCGATCTCTCATTAGCATCCCCAGGTTTAGCTGCAAGTGGCTTTGGTTTCTGGATGTTTCTAGCATATTCCAACGCCTAGGGTAGTGCAAAGAGAAACACGACAAGTTTTATCTAAATGTATAGTTGATTCATTGTATTTTGGATGCAAAACAGAGTTTTACAATTGGTATCATTTACTGTAATGATCAATTTTCAAAGATGACTTTTTTTAAAATTGATTTCTGAGACTTGGCATGGCCTGGAGATGGCAGAAGAAAGACAACTGTTACATCCATGGAAGCATCTTCCAAACACGTTGTCAAGCAACACTGCTAATTACTAGTATCCTTACAGCATCTATATCATGATGCCTGAAATGCGGACTCCGACCACAACAGTTGTAGAAATAAATTCATTTTGCAATATATTTTGCTATTTTTCGTTGAAACCTTTCTTTAATTGTGAAGTGAAATGGAAATACTACAGGCTCTCTTTACAAGAACGTTTTATTATCCAAACTGAAGTGCAGAATAGATTTTCAGCTGGAATTTGGAAAGTTAGCAAAAATTTACTGCAGAGAGATTAAAATCATAATAAGTTGGTGGAACGTGCGTGGAGGAAGCAGCCTCAATAACTTTCAAACTTGAAAGATAGCAAATTTCAGGACTGTGAGGAAAGAGTCAGGAAATGGAACTAATGGAGAAAGAAAATATGGTAGGTTCTGGAAATCTGACATAAAAACAGAAAATGCAAGAACTCAGCAGTCAGACAGTAGCTGCTTAAAGAAACACAGTAAACACTTAAGGTCCCTGACCATTCATCAGAACCCCACTGATTATTTACAGCATTTTCTACTTTTATTTAAGGGAGTTAGATTAACTGGCTACCTCTTCCAAAGAACCAGAACAGTTGGTTACCGAGTTTTTTCCATATTATAAGATTCTAAAATTCAAGATGATGTCTAGAAAGCACATTAATTTGCTAGACAATTAGATTTGTCTGTAGGTCTAATTATATATCATTCTCACAGTAATAAGTCACATGGTTTAGAGGTTAAAACAGACATGCAAGACAACACAAGGTAAAATATAATAAAATGGGTAACAGAATTATTAAAACTAGGACAGCTTTTGAAATTCCCTTCTCAGTTAGATTTTATACATTTCCAGAGACGATCGGTTCAAAACCTAGCCCTACATAATAAAAACAAAAAATGCTGGAGAAACTCAGCAGGTCTATCAGCATTTGTGGAGACAGGAACATAGCTAATGTTTCAAATCTGATTTGACTTTTCTGAAGAATCCCGAGGCCTTCATAATATTTTGCAAATAATACATTATTCAATTGATCCTAAAACAGGTGTTAGAGTCACAGTGTGTAATTATTCCACAGATGTTCAATGCATTGTAGGCAGCATGCCAACTTGGAGATGGTGGTGGTGTGACAATGATAAACTATCTCCTGTTACCCTGTTTGCATAGTTGACTGCACCATCCTCCGCTGCTCCACCATTGCCCAAATGCCTGTAACTGAATTCACCTGTTTCCATTTTTATCTGTCCAGTCACAGCCAGAGAATCACTTGCAATGGTTTCTCTCCCACTACCATACAATTATTTCTGGCATTTCCCAAAGACCTATCCTTGGTCTCCACCTACCCATGTGCATGATACTCCTCAGTGATGTCATATGAAAACACGGCATATGTATTCTCCTAGCAGCGCTCTACATCATCACCATTTCTTTGGACCCGTTCACAGTTTAAATTGGCAAACCATTTATCTGACATCCACTGCTGGATGAGAAGAAATTTCCTACAAGTAAATGCTGGAAAGACTGGAGCCATTTTCTTCAGTCCCCTTGACATCCATAGTCTATCCTGTTAACTGTCTTAAAGTTGAACCAGACTGATCATAATCTTGATGTTATGTTTGAACCTGATATAAGATTTTGAATACAGACGTGTGCCGTCTCTAAGACTGTTTATTTCCACCACTGTAATATTAGCCAACTATGTCTCTGCCTCAGCTCACCTATTCGTAAAATATTCAGCCATGTCCTTGTTACCTTGTGTTGAATATTCTGACTCACATCTGGGTGGTCTTCAGTGTAAGCATGAGGTCATCCAAAACTTGCTATCCATATTTAATTTGCACCAGTTTTCCTGTCATCAATGGGATTGCTGGCTTACACTAAGCTCTAAGTTCAGGAAAGTCTCAATTTTAAAGCCCTCATCCATGTAACAAAATAAATCCGTGGTTTAATCCCTTCCTATCTCTGTAATCTCCTCCAACCCTGCAACCCTATGAGACATTTGCACTCTTACAATTCTGGATAGTCACATTACCTACAAAACTGCATAACACATACTGGGACATATACCTCTCTTTTGTAGGATAAGGTTGCATAAAACAGGAGGCAACAGAAGCTAACTTCAGTGCAGAAGTTCTTCAACATGTCCAGCTCCCATGAAGGAAACTGTGCTAACCTTTATTGGAACAGTCATTGCCGGGTTGCAACAGTCGGTGACAGGTCTGAAACCAGCAAACTTGACGGTATTCTCATACCCAATCTTCCTTGTCACATTGCTGGTGATTGACTTTGTTTAGCTATTGCTTTGCTCACCACACACAAAGGAAAAATACCTGGAATTTGTTCCTGTAACTGTTCTACCTCTTTAATTTCACTCAATCTTTCTGTAATCCGGGTGAAGCTACAATTTTCACTCCTACCAAATTATTATCCAGGAGTTAGTCAATCCTATCCATGAGTAATTTCTGAATATTCTCTAAAGTCACGACCTGACTACCTGCTTTGCATGAGCAATGCCCAGTTTTCCTTCAGTCTCTTCATTTGTTTTGACACATTTTTGAACATCCTTTACCTCAAATTTTGGTAGGGCATGTACAAATTTGAAAATCTCCTTTCTGGAATTTGAGTTAGGCTCAGGGGTTTCCTTGTGAGAACTTTTCTCTATATCCAAAGTCTTTTTTTTAATCTTCAGTCTTCTAAATGGTTCTCCTTTTTTCTCTGTTTCTCTTTCCTGGAATATTCATTAACATTTTTCTCAAGTTAAAATTTTTAAAACTTTCTATTTTCTTTTCCATCCTTTCCAATTTTACTGTTTATTTTCTCTGCTTTTGAAATTCCCTTTGTAACTGCTCTTCTGCATTAGAATTCCACAAACTCAACCGACTCAGGTATTTTCACCAGTCCCAAATGTTGTGCCAATGCTTCAGTTATCTGTGCCTTCTTACATTTTGTAGAAAATGAAATCTTCAAGTCCTTTGCCAATTCTATCAGTTTAGCCTTAGTTAATCCTGTAAACCAGTCAGGGATACCTTCTCCATCCGCAGGAAAGCTTGCTTCCAGTGCAATTTTGTTTAGCAATATGAGAAACCTGGTATCTGTCCTTATATTCTTTACCAATTATCATCATTCCACATCTTATTTCTCATTGACCACATGAAATATCCCAACAATGAGCCCATCACCCAATACTTTCTTCTGATTTACAATCTGCAGATAGGCATGAACCGACTAAACCTTTCCATATCACAAACGTACCCTCGTTATTTTCTGCTTTCAGATACCAAAGAAGTGCAATTAAGAAAGCAAATGGAGGAACAGCAAAAGAACAGGAATGATGGAGATGTACCAATATGGATTTCATGCTTGCAGTTACCAGCTTTGGTACCAATACTGCACTTAATAAGGCAGATAGCAAGAGGCAGATCTTTGCATAGTGAGACAATGAGCGCAAGTGGCCTTTAGATAGGACAAGGGGCAGAGATAATGCAGGTGTCAAATCATACATTAACTCTGTTATGGAGGAATTAAGTGAACATCTCCATGGGGTAGTGGCTGAAGCGTTGAGCTCCAAATGGCACCATGATGTCAAATCAGCATTTAATGGTGGTCATCTTCTGAGTCTGTTATGAACTGTCTGCCTTGCAAATTCCCACTGGCAATTCACTGCATGCCTAAGTTGATGCCCTTACCTAGATGTCATTTGGCAAAGTTCATCCAGAAGTGTGCATGTTTCTGGATGCCACTTTTGAGCACCAAAAGCACATGGGTGCAAATGATCTGACGTCTTGTCTATAGCATTAATCAAACAGAAATTCTCAGGACATTAAAAAAAATTGTCAGATGCAATGGCTTGGTATGTATTTTGAGATCCAGCTAACATAAATTAATAGCATTTTAGTGTTTTATGTGTTTTTATGACTTTTTTTTATCGCTACTTTAATTGCAAAGTATTATTTTCATAACACTGTTACCACAAATCAATTAACATACATTGTTATGAGGGTGATACAACATTGTTCGCTTTTCATTTTTACGTACCAATTTCCTCCGTGAAATTGTCTTGTTTTCAATGCCTGGATATGGTTTAAGCTGAGATGAGGATGATTTGGAGCCTGCTTTCATGTTCTGGCTTTTAACATGTGTTGCATATTCTTTTTGTCGTTTCATTTTCTCTGCCTGAAAAGACAAAGGCCCAAAACAAATATCAAATACAGAAGTGAAATGGAAAAATAAACTTGTCTTGGGCTGAAGGAAGAGCTGTGATAGCGATGGTGGATTGGGAAATGTTACTGAAAGGAATGACTGGATAGAAAATGGCAAACATTCAAAGTACGAATGCATGAACTACAAAAACTGTCTATTCCTGTTTGGTGTAAGTGTGCAAAGAGAACCGTGGCCAAACAATGGCTTAAGAGGGAAGTTAGAGATAGTATTAGATGCAAAAAAGACACATGTAAATTGGCAAGAAAAGACAATACACTTGAGGACTGGAAGCAGATTAGAAGACAGCAAAGAAGGACCAAGGGATTAATTAAGAAGGGGAAAATAAATTTGACAGGAAGTTTGCAGGGAATGTAAGAACTATAACAGGTTCTATGACTATGCTAAGGGAAAAAGATTGAAAAATATACGTCCATTACAGTCAGAAAAGGTAGAATTTATAATGGGAAACAAGAAAAGGCTGATGAACCAAGTTTCTACTTCACTTCTATCTTCACAAGGGAGGACATGAATAACATACCATAAATCATGGGGAGCACCAGGTTTAATGAGCAGGAGGAACTGAAGCAAATCTGTACTCGTAGAGAAATGGTGTTGGAGAAATTGATGGGATTGAAGACTGATATATCCCCAGGACCTAATAACTTACATCGTAGAGTACTTAAGGAAGTGGCCCTAGAAATAGTGAATGTATTGATGGTCATCTTCCAAGATTATTTAGACTCTGGAACAATTTCTACAGATTGGAGGGGATCTAACGTAACCCCACTATTTAAAAAGTGAATTAGAGAGAAAGCAGGGAATGATAGACCAGTGTGTCTGATGTCAGTGGCAGGGAAGATGCTAGAGTCCACTATCAAGGATTTTGTTGCAGAGCACATAGAGAACAGTGGCAGAATCAGACAGTCAGCATGGATGTACAAAAGGGAAATCATTCTTGACAAATCTACTAGAATTCTTCGAGGATGTAACCAGTAGACTTGATCAGGAGGAGCCAGTGGATGTGGTTTATTTGAACTTTCAGAAAGCTTTCCACAAAGTCCCACCTAAGAGATCAATGTGTGAAATTAAAGCACATGTGATTGGGTGTAGTGTTTTCAGACAGACATAAAATTGGTTAACAGACAGGAAACAAAGAGTATGAATAAATGTGTCTTTTTTTTGAATGAGAGATAGTGACTAGTGAGGTACCACTGGGATTGGTAATAGGATACATGTTAATATATATGTGTTAATGATTTAGATAAGGGAACTAAATGTAATAGCTCCAAATTTACAGATAACACAAAACTGGGTGGAAGGATGAACTGTGAGGAGAATGCAGAGATGTTGCAGAGTGATTTAGTCAGGCTGACGAGTGCGCAAATGCACAGCAGATGTAGTATAATATGGATCAAATGTGAGGTTATACACTTCGGTAGAAAAAATAGGAAGGCTTATTATTTGGATGGCTGTAAATTGAGAGAAGGGAATGTTCAATGACACCGGGGTGGCCTCATGCACCAACTGCTGAAAGTAATAGCGTAGGTGCAGCAAGCAGTAAAACCGGCAAACTGTATGTTGGCCTTCATTGCGAGAGGATTCGAGTACAGGAACAAGGATGTCTTGCTGCAAATATACAGGACATTGTGAAGCTACACCTAGATTGTGTGCAGTTTTGGTCTCCTTATTTGAGGAAGGCTGTTCTTGTGTAGAAGGAGTGCAGTGAAGGTTTACCGTATCAATTTTGGAATGGCAGGACTGACGTATGATGCGAAATTGAGTCAGTTGGATTGTATTGACTGGAGATTAGAAGAATTACAGGGGGTCTCATAGAAAGCCGTAGAATTCTCATAGGACTAGACAGATTAGATGCTGGAAGGATGTTCCCGATGGTGGGGGAGTCCTGAATCATAGTTAAGGATCAGGTGTAAATGCTAAGGACCAAACAAGGTGTAATTTCTTCACCCAGAGAGTGGTGAACCTGTGGAATTCACAAGGGAAACTGGTTGAGGCCAAAACATTATGTACTTTCAAGAAGGCAGTAGATATAGCTATAAGAAGGTAGCTCTTGTGGCTAAAAGAGATCGAAGGAAAAGGTTGGGGGGGGGGGGGGGGGGGGGGGATAGGGGAAGGGCAGGATTAGAGTCTTGCGCTCAATGATCAGTCATGATGATATTGAATGGCAGAGAGGATCAAGTGGTTGAATGGCCTACTCCTGCTTCAACCTTCTATGTTTCTATGGGAGACACAAAGGCTGTGTTGTCACTTTTCCATTTTCAATATTTGCAATTTGTTCCTGACATTGTGTTTTGTACAATATGCCCAGCATTACCAGAGAAACCAGATATCATGTTATTCTACATAACATCATGGAGAGGATTGATGCAAGACCACATTCCCATCCAAACCTAGCAGGAATCACAGCCTGGACTCTGAATTTGAGGGACAGCAGGAAGTCAACCAATGGTATCTAACAGAAAAATTTGCCAACATAAGAGGGTTCCAGAAACAGAAACATCTTATAATGGGAAAGATCTAGGGAAGAGGGGCCTGAGGTTTCCTTGTGAGGCCTTTAGGAACACACCTACTTCTCCAAGCACACAAGGAGACTAAAACAAAGCACAAATATGGCTGGACCTTCTCTGTCCCTGGCTGTTGTTCCCAGTAGGTTTACTGTTAGGAAAAGCACCTCTGGTTTCCTGCTCAGGCTACAAGTTAAGATGGAAGTTTTAACACAATTACATTATTAGTCCTCCATATTTGAAGAGGAGTTGGAAATCTCCAGATTACAGTAAGAAATGTTTGGATAACTTCCTGCTCCATTTCAACTAACCCCCTGACCTATCTCAATATGCACACAAACGCTGAAAGCACTTGCCTTTTCTTGAGTAGACTTATAGTCTGGTCCCAAACCTCCAAGTTTCACATCCTGTTTTAGACTCTTATAATCTCTCAATGTGTAAGGCTAAATAGGAAAAAAAATGACATAAAAATCAATAAAGTTTACTTAACTTTATTATATGCTAGCTTATATGCTGTAAAGGTTGCATTTAAAGTTGCAGAGATTGAAAAATAGACAGTGAACAAAAAATGAAAGACAGAAAGTGCTGAAAAACCTCAGCAGGTCTGGCAGTATCTGTGGAGGACCAGAGTTAATATTTTGAGTCCAACATGACACTTCTTTGGGACTGAAGAGGGGGACAAGTGATGGATGTTATACTGTAGAGAAAGTGGGGAATAGCAAGTGGAACAGAAGGAAGGTCAGGGAAGATTAGTGGGCAAGGGAGGTTAGAGATAAGAACAAAAGGCAAAGGTAGTAATAGTAATGTTTGTAGCAAAGTGAGATAGGTCCAGTGTAGGTGCTAATAACAGGATATAGACCAGCTCTCTCTTCAGTTTTGAATTAGCCATATTTGGCTTAAAATATTATAGAATCGCTACAGTGCGGAAGCATGCCATTCAGCTCAATGAGTCCACCGCAACTCTCTGAACAGCATTCCACTCAGACCCACCCCATCCCTGTAACCCTGCATTTCTCCAAAGCTAATCCACCTCGTCTGCACACCTTTGGTCTAAATCAGAAGCCACAGAACACAAGGTTATAGTCCAACAGGTTTATTTGAAATCACAAGCTTTTGGAGTGCTGCTCCTTTGACAGGTAAAGACACTCCAGTCTAACACTGGCACCTCCACATCATGGCCACCTTTGGAATGTGGGACGAAATTGGAGCAAGCGGAAGAAATCCACACACACACAGACAGTGCAAACTCCACACAGACAGTCACCCAAGAGTGGAATTGAACCCGGGTCCCTGGTGCTACAAGGCATTAGCGCTAACCACTGAGCCACTATGTCATTAAGTCTGTTTATCTCCACAGATGCTGCCAGAGCTGCAGAAAGTTTCCCAGCACTTTTATTTCACATTTCCTGCATCCACAGCATTTTGGTTTTATTTTAATGACTACAGAAATAATTATTTGACATTTCCACTTGTTTCTCATTCGCCATAAACGACATACATAATTAAAATATAATTCAAGAATGCATGCCCCCAAAGTTATTTCTGTCATAGCATCCCTAAAGTGTGGAAACAGGCCCTTCGGCCCAACAAGTCCACACCGAACCTCAGAGTATCCCACCTAATCCACACATCCCTGAACACTACGGGAAATTTAGCATGGCCAATCCACCTAACCTGCACGTCTTTGGACTGTGGGAGGAAACTGGAGCACCTGGAGGAAACCCACGCAGATACAGGGAAAACGTGCAAACTCCACACAGACAGTTGCCCGAGGCTGGAATCAAACCCAGGTCCCTGGTGCTGTGAGGCAGCAGTGCTAACCACTGAGCCACCGTGCCACCCCATCTAGGTAAGGCACAGCTATCTGGAACTGTTCTCCACTCTATGCCATCAAGACTACACCAGGGAAATGACGAAAGTTGACCCAACTGTGGTTGTGTGATAAAAAAAATAGCTTAACCTATCTATGCTTCCAGATTAGCAAAGGGCACAATGACGCTGATTGTGGTACATTTCACCTTGCTGATTACTTGTGAATAACTAGAAATTACAGTTATATAGCACCTTAGTGGTGGAAAGTACTTCACAAAGTAGAAAAAAGTTGAAACAACAACTTGAATTTTGAAAAATTTTTAAATGTGAAGAGAGAAATAGGGGATATTAGGGTAGGATTAAGGCTCCAGTAGCTGAATCTTATGCTACTAGTGGCAGGATAAAGACAAGGTAAATTTCTTAAAATTTTTGAGTTGGAAATCAATATTGTGGGAAGGCCTATCGTACAGGAGAAATTTGCAAATTAAAGTGTGGTGGGACTGTGGAGGGATTTTAAGAAAGTGACATATTGGGATTTACCTAAAATTTTATTCATGCTTGAAACAAATGAACTAGCCTTATGATTTCTTTTATACAAAGGTAAGGATTTTGCTTATAGTATAAATATGGTGAAGCAAACATATCCTTTATTATGTAGATTACTATAATCTACCAATGAAATCTGAGAAACCATTAATTCCTCAAGAATTGAGGGGGAAAAATGTCCTGTTACTGGGCTATAAAACACATTGCCTGTCTAATTATTAACTCTACTTTGGGCCTAGAGTTTGCTGAAGAGGGCAACTTATGCCAGCACTATAGGCAGTGGATCTTTTGGCTCGTGGTGCTTTCGGAAAACCAGAGGAGACACAGACAGTATGTAAAACATGGATGCTTTCAACCAGAATAAAGGGTTACTCAGGAATAATAAAATATTTTCAGCTTTTGTACACATCATGGAGTCACCTCGACAATAAAAAAAAGTAACAATCCACGAAACAGGAATTATTGATTATGCTTGAATGTGGTAGAGAGATTTAGCATCTGGACCAGATAGCATTAGATTCTAAAGATTCCCCCCTAAATTATTGCAAATCAAGAGTGGATATTATGAAATTTAGGCACAAGAACATTTGTAGAAATTGCTTTTGCTGTCATCAGAAGAGTTTCAAAGATGTTTTGATTGAAAATTTCAAGATTGTGAAGCGATTGAGAACACTAATTCTAGGAAACTGCTCACTATGGTGAAGAATTCAACTTCACACAGAAAATCAAAAATTCAGATGAGAAGGTCACAAATAAACAGTGAAGTTAGACTGAGGGAAATCAAAATAAACTTCTTCATGCTGACCATAACAGAACAATACGCAATTTGTAGAAAAAAACACGGCATATATGAGTTAAAGAGGCCAACAGACACAGACTTGTTCAGATGTGATAACGGTTTTGGTCAGAAAATGAGGTCCATTTTTTAATTGTGTCACATCTGTGGGTAAATTTTAAATGTCAGTTTGACTGAAGTAGCAACATCATTTTTCTGCTTAGAGTGTAAGGACTGAGCCTAGTGAAAATGGTAGTAGTGCAGACCACAGCTTCTTGTACAATGTGCGTCAGAACCTCTTCCACCCACACTTACACAATTTACTGACAAGATTATCACATTTTGTTTGGTGACCAAATACCTCAGAGGCACAGTCTGACAAAATTAGCAAACACAAAGGGAAACAATTATTACAGCACTAGGAGGAATGGACGAATCAGACAGATTTGTTCAATAGTCAGTGACTAATCCTTAAAACCAGTCTGCAGGGCAGTCAGCTGGCAATACACAAAATGCACAGCATAGAACTACAAAACTATTACTTATGTTTACAATGTCTGTGTTGAAGCTTTAAGTTAACTTTTAAGTGTGTGTTTGGTCATGGTTCTGCGAATCTTTAACTCTACCAGTTACTTCACTGACAATTTCCAATGTTCAAGCTGCATCATGAAATTCTTCCCTGACAGTAAACAGAAAATACTAAAGTCTTAATTGCCATTCTAGATAAAAAGGATGTTGATCCATCTAAATCTCGGTTAACATCAGTTCAGTAACTCTGAGCTCTCGTGTCAGTGTCACTTCAAACTATAGAATAAGTAGATCTTTAATTCCTTTTAATGTAAACAGATTATTTATATGACAAAAGTATACTTACCTTGTTTAAAACACCAAAGGAAAAAGGAATCCATCAACTTCATTTATTAACAAAATAGCTGCATGTTCAGGCTCCTGCCACTGATAGGATTTGACAGTGCACTCAAATCACTACTAAAAACTATTACAAAGCAATAATCTGACTGAAGGGTTCAGACTACACCATGAACTGTGAGAGCAAAGCTTGAATGTTTATAATTGCTAACGGAATCAGATTACACGTCTACAAATCACTTGGATGCCTGGCTACATCTATCATCTCAGGGAAACAGGCATTGCAGAGATTGTGCTCTCACATGCAAAACTTAGAATTAGAAGCATGCATAAAAACATAACATTTGATAACTATTTTGCTAAAACTACATGAAGTTCAATTATAATTTTAATTGAATAAGATCACTAAAAGTTAACTAATTTATAAAAAAGGGTGTATGATTTTATCTTTTACAGTCAGTTGAATCATGGTACAATTCAATTTTATTTTAATACAAAAGTAGAATTAAGATTTTATGTCTTGAAATAACATTTACAAAGTAATTTCGAGGGGCAGTGTAGGATAGTATTGGTCCTAATGGGGGTCTGATTTTTGTCTACCACCCTATTTATGCCTGTAACAGGAGTAGACTGATATTATGACATAAACTTTTAGATTTATACATATTTTTAACATAAGTTATCATAAATTTGGGTTTTTGGTTTTTGCGTTAGCAACATTTAGCTTTTCTGTATATCCGAAGTTAATTATTAACTTGTAAATATTTTTGTAGACATGGTGATTTTTTCAAAAACAGTTTGTGAGGCCTAGGTTTAGAATGAATAGGTTTTGTGCATCACTAATGGATTTTTGTATACTTTAGGTTGTTTTGCAACCCAGTAAGGTAAATAATGGGGTTACAAGGTTTGTTAGAGATTTCTGGAACTTGTTTATTTTAAGCATAAGGGAAGCTCACATAACTTAGAGACACACAGATTTCTTTTAGTTTTACTTTAGAGTTTTGAGCATACCTGTAAAGTCCTTGGATGAAACTGGCTCTATAGGTCAGTGCTCCTGAGAACGGAAGGATATAGTGAAGAGTTAGTGTTAGTCTCAGATCTTGGGATAAAACCCTGAAGAGGTTACTTAAAACTGTGTAAGTTTAATCTCAGGTTTTAAATAGCTCCAGGAAGCAGCTATCTACAGTTTCAATCTGTAAATTAAAGTCACAAGTGGCCTAAACCTACCAAAGTATTTGAGACAAGGTCTCTGATGTGTGTACTGCACAAATGATGTTTTCTGGCATTGTGCAAGATACGTTTTGGGGTACTGTACCAGGGGTTTGTTTTGGGTACTACACAAAAAAGCTGCTCCTTTTCTTTTCAATTTATAGAAGTGTGCTAATGGATTTATATTTTCACAGTGTGTTTAAAAATCTTTGAATTTGTGTTTTCAGCAGATAG